GCTCATCCTCTGCTCACTCACCCTGTGGTCAATGTCGACGGTGAAGAGAGGCTGAATTGCATTTACATCCTCATTGTTTCTTTGAGCCTGAAACAGATAAGATGTGCTTTTTTTAAAAACATTTTACTAATAAAAGCAATTATCCAAAAGCTTTGAGCCAAACCACTGCTTTATTTAAACGGACCTTTCGGAGGGCGCTGTAGGACTCCTCGTCAAAGAATTTAACCTGATACGTTCCAGAGCTGGCCTGTTTGTGGGGAAGACTCCAGGACACCTGCAGGAGAGCATGGAAATACTGATTCACACCCATTGAGCGATTTTTGTTTAATAAAAGATTTTTACTTTTATGCTATGTAGTCTTTTGTGATCAAATAGAAAAAAAGTGTCCTGATATGTAGACTATGTTGTACATAAATCAAGCTCAATAGCTGCTTAAAAATGTAGGGGGATCAGCATTATATGAAGTAAAAACCAGTCTAATCCCTGTTTTGTAAAAAAAAAAAAAAGAAAAGTCAATCTAAATTTGAACAATTTTGATAAATATTTTGGCAAGTGATAAATATTATATTACAAGAGCAATGCATGCAACTTCTTCAAGGGTCAGGATATCAGGTGAAGAAAAAAATAGTTCAAAAAGTGTTGGTTTATCCCAATTTTAATATTAAGCCACTGAATTGTAATTTAAGGATTTCCTACTCTCTTGCAACTCTGTTACACAGCTTCATTAAACAGATATTTTCATGTCTAAGTTGTGAGTGGACTATCCTAACACATAATTATGCTTTTGAAGAGGCCATCCCACATCATTATATTGCCACCACCATGCTTCACCATTAGGACAGGGTGCTCAGGAATCATGACGGGATTTTGTTTTCAGCAAAATGTAAGTTTTGGCTTTTTCCTCTTTCCTTCCCAGTTGTGCACTAGATGTTGTGGTGAGACAAACACAATCACAATCTAAAATACATTAGAAGTTGTGGCTGTAGCATGCCAACATGTGACAAGCTGTTCAAAAGACTGGATAGTTTTACAGCATAGTGTGTTCCTAAGAAATTGTGCGAACAGTCTTCAACAAAACAAGAGGCTAAAAAAAGACATTGATCACAAACATCCCCCTTTCTTTATTTATATTGAGGATACCTGGTATTTTCCAACATCCTGGCCTCTAGTCACAGGGAACTGCCTTCCATTGACATCAGCATAGAGAGTGACGCTCTGCAAAGGAAAGCAGTGATCATGACACCTCAGTCAGGCATTAATTGAAGCAGCTCGTTTGTCAAATGTACCGATATATATTAAACATATGGATCTCACAGTTACCTGGGCTCCATTAGCACAGGTCAGGCTGAGCTCCACGATGAAGACAGACTCTGAAGAGATGACGGCGTCAGAGGTAGTGTAGGCCGAAGGGGTGATCACTGGGTCCTTACAGCTCTCCCCTGCCGCCCCAGAAAATTAATTAGCTAGCTATCAGAGAAAGTAACACCCAAATTCTAGACAGTTAATATCATTAGCGGTGTCTAATAAATAGCTTAAAGCTATATCGAGGTGGTTGTATGGGCTTTTTATTAGCATTACAGGCTAAATAAAGCCAACAAACCTCTTTAAATGGTTCTGTATACTCACCCGAGCAAGCAACCACCAGCAGAGTAAAGACTGCAGCTATTCGGATCATTCTGAGGTCCGATAAGGCGTTTTTTTTTTTTGCTTTCAAGTAAAGGTTACAGGAGAGCTATACGACTACTCTGTGTGAAAGAAGTCCACATCAGCCTATCGCTACCGCGCATGCGCAGTACGTAGCGCCGCAAAGCACCCTGGGAAGTAACACCGAAGACACGTCATCAGTGAGAATCTTCTTCTTCTTCTTATGGGATTTTATGGCGGTTGGCAGACTTGTGAATTGTGCATTACCGCCACCAACTGATATGGAGTAAAGCAAGATAACAGGAAACGATTCACCCCCCCCCCAAAAAAAAAAAAAAAAAAAAAAAAAAAAAAAAAAAACCTGTGTAACTTAAACCAACATAATACTAAATCACATTTGCCCATATAATTTTAATTTACTCTAGGTCATCTTAACTCTGCCAGTTTCTGATGGTCCCATCGGTCCTCCCATCATACTTCCAACCATCTCCCAGTTCAAATCTTTAATGTCCAGATATTTTTCTGCAGCCTTCACTATTATTTTGATTTTTTCCGTTTTTTTTGTTGTCTGTGCAGTACAATTAATTACTTCTACCATGAAAAGAACAAAATTTGTCTTTTTAACAATAAGTGAGTCTTCATTAATTTTTGGAGATTTCTCTAGAGGTTTGGAATTTGCTGTGTGTTGAACTGTAGGTTTGGGTTTTTCTGACTGAGATGGGATCCTTTTTGCAGCTTCAGCGTAGGTTATTCCGAGCTCAAATTTCATTTTTTTAATTTCCTCAGACCTTTTGCTTGCTTCACAGCCGCGATAGGCAGCAGTATGTTCTCCACCACAATTACAGCATTTTATTTTAGCTTCTTTTCCACATTTTCCGTACTCATGTTCTCCTGCACACCTTCCACACCTCTGTTTCCCTTTACAAACTGCTGCAACGTGACCGAATTTTTGGCATTTGAAACATCTCAATGGTGGAGGATTGTAGATTTTGACATTATAGCTTATGTAACCGATGAATACTTTGCTTGGTAATTGCTCTTCTTCGAATTTAATTAGCACAGATAAACTGTCAGATCTTTCTCCGTTTCTTGTTGTTTTTAACCGTTTTACTTCTTTTACTTTTGCACCGCTTATGTTTTCCAGAATCTCTTTTTCAGAAATTTTTAGAGGAACTCCTCCAATGACTCCCCTGCTGATCTTTTTGTTCTCCATTAGGCTGCACTGAACTCTTATCCCGTCAATTTTGTTGATACGTATTGCTTTGCCTTGCTGGGCGCTGTCTCTGCAGTTAATTAGCAGGTCTCCACTGTACAGAATTCTGGCACCTTTGACTTCTCCGACAAGTTTATTGATGGTTTTTGTTAAGTGAACCGGATTCCAATTTGTAAAAGAGTCTGCCTGATTAACGACTTTGAATATGACTTTGAATTCATTTTGTTGTGCTGTGGAATGTATGGAATGATCATCACTGGATTGTTCTGAACTAGATTCCCCTTGAACTGATCTCTGTTTTTTCCGCTTTTTCTCATTTTTTGATGTTGCTATTTTCCAACCTTCATTGTCACTATTTCCCTCTTCCATCCCACAAGAATCGCTTCCTGTTTCCTCACTACTCACGGCCCAAGACATTTCTCCATAAGCAGCTTCAAAACACGCGCCATGCACCAAACGACCATCCACCGAGCCTCAAACACTTCTTGTGTCAACGTCGGGAGGCTCAGGGCAATCAGTGAGAATCGAATGAGTGGAGCCTTTTTTGAGAGTTACTTCAATTGTATCCAAAGAATTAACAATAAAAAATGTGTACACACTGTTAACGTAATTCGGGAAATATTTGGAGAAATGTCATATATCCTGGCCCTTTTTTTTGTTTGTTTTTTGTTTTTTTTTTGTCTTTGTTTAAATCTCTTCTGATTATTTATTTAAGTTAAAGTATGTCATATCTTAATGTAATTACACTCCATCATTAAACACTTATTCTGGAGATACTGTTCTATTTCTTGAGATATGTTATGTTAATATTTTGTAATTTGCAACGTTTCAATAAAAGTTTTTTTTTTTTTTTTTTTTTTAAAGCCTTTTTTGAGAGACAAAAAGGCTAATTTGTATGGAGGACCAATCATGCCAGGATTAAAAAAAATAAAAACATAAATAAATGCTCCAAAAATAAATAAGCATACAATTAATTGCCCCCCCAAAATACAATAAACAAATAAATGTTGGTAAAAATTAAATTATACGGTGAGACATGTATATATATTTAATTAGCTTCTTTGTTTATTTGCCTTTGTAGTAATTACCTTAATTATTTGTTGTCCATTATAATCTTCAACTTTATTTATTTATTACTTATTTCATAAGTACTTATTTATGTGCATGTTATAATATTTTTGTCTGGTTTATTCTTCCTTTGTATTTTTTTTTTTTACACTATTTATTTCTGTCTGTCGTTTTTACATTTCTATATGCATTTCTGCCTCATTATGAGTAGGGGTGTGTCTTAAGGGCTCAACTTCTGCCCATTGGTTGGTTAGCAGCCACCGGCCACAGTCGCAACATACATGGCTACCTACGATGAAGCTGTCAGTGAGCGGAGAAGAAGCCATCAGCTCCGGGGCTGGTCCGGGTCCAGAGCCAGCATTGTTTTCAAAAAGGCAGGAACGTGAGGTTGTTTCTGTAAAGGTGAAATCAAAGCAAAAAACTATTAAAAGTAAAGGGGCTAAATAAAGAGTAGGGTTTGGATTTTAGGTGATATTTTTCATCAAACATCAAACAATCTACACATTCACATTTATATGTGGAGTAGCTTATAGAATCCAAGTTTATATCTATAAATAGTCATTCTTATCTCTACACCCCAGAGTGTGGAAGAACAGCAGGAGGAAGGTCCATCAACTTCTGGTGCACAGATGGACACAGTTCAGTGATTTACAGTAAATGCCAGTTTCATTCTGAATTGTAGACTACATTCATGATGTGACTCTAATCTAATGTATTTTCAGTTGCCAGTTAAGGAGTTATATAGACTTCTTCTTATTAAAAAGATAGAAAAAAAAAAAAAAAAGAACTTGTATACTTGGAGCGCCAGATCCAAAAGGCAGATCTGGAAATCAACATTCTGAAACTAAAGCTACAGGTGAGTGTATGGTCACAGGTGAATTCTAGGAAGTATTGAAACTATTTTAAAATCTTTTTTTTTTTTTTTTAGCAAGTGAAGAACACCATATAAATTGCTGTGATTTTGTTTATTAATTAGTTTATTTTGTGGTTGCATTTGTATGAAATAAAGAACACCATAAATTGCTGTGATTTTGTGTTCATTTTTTTTTTGTGGTGGTGGTGGATATCATGTGTATTAGTCTGAGAAGACATTGCGGCATATCATATCCCGGACTACCCTTCCATCCTGGAAATCTGCAGGGTTGATGGGCTCTTCCTCAGGGTCTTGTAATTGTAGGGCAGGGTGTTGCTCCCCTCTAATTATGGCAATAATTAGAGGAACAACACATGCCACAATAATGTCGCAGGCCCTTTCAGGGGTTACCCTGAGGTGACGTAGGCACTGGAAATGTGCTTTCAACAGGCCTATGGTCATCTCCACCCGGGCTCTCGTCCTGCAGTGTGCCACATTGAAGCGCTGCTGTGGGCCTGGTTCAGGTTCTGGGTAAGGGGCCATAAGATTTGGTCGGCATGGGTAACCCCTATCTCCCAGCAGAAAGCCATCAATCTCTCCTGTAAGAAAGTTCACATTGCTTTAGAGCTGCATAGAAATTCCCCTGAAGTGTTTAGTGCATACATTGAAATATGTGTAAAGGATATACATTTACTTACCCCTTTCCAGTCTGTTGCTCAGGGTTGACTCCCGATAGATTCTTGAGTCATGAACAGAGCCAGGCCACTTGGCCTCCACATTTGTAATTATATGTGCAGCATCACATATGATCTTGACAGTGCAAAGAATGAGAGATGTTACAGTATTGTGGTGTAGTCTTTGACCATTAGAAACAGTAGGCTGTCAGTGTACCTGCACATTAATACTGTGGATGGATCTCCTGTTCACATAGTCCGCTTCATTTTCAGAAGGTGCAATGATCGGAATATGTGTGCCATCAATGCATCCAACCACATTCGGAAATCTTAAAGGGAATTCTAATTATTAGGTTACTTCCAGGGGTCACAGCAAGATATTCTTAACTGAATGTAATTTATCAGGTTAGCCTAATTTAAACCGATTTATACACCACTGACCTGCAATCCTGTGAAACTCCTCTTTGATGACTCTCACTGGTTTGTGCCCAGGAAACAATACAAAAATTCTCAGAAAGCGCTTAAGAGCGAGGCACACTTTCCTTACCGCTCTGCAAACATTAGCCTTACTAATATGTTCAGCATCCCCGATGTTATAAAGAAAACTTCCATTCGCAAAGAAACGTAAGGCAACGCAAAGAATCTGCTCGGATGCAAGAGCACGACCACGATGGTTGATGTTTCTGATGTAAGGATGGATGAGATTATGGATGTATCTTATTGACTGTAGAGAAAAACGGTAACGCTCAAATAAAAATGGATAGGGATATGACAAAAAATCCACTCTGGGCCTCAAAATCCTTTCCCGACGTAAATGTAACTCCCTACGAAGTAATACAGCCTCTTCGTCAACAGGATCATCCATAAAAGGACATGCCATTTCATTCCCTTTGATGCGCTCTACGTGATTGAATGTGTGCAATGAATATGTCCCCAAAGAATCAATGAGGTGTTTAAACACCACTTCCTCTTTAAAAAAGGGGAGGAGACCAAAATAAACTCTGGATTTTCTGAAGAAAACCTGCTCCCGACCAGGTTAGATTCACAGAGTAAATTGCCATGGTAACTGAGTATAAGTTACCTCTCTTTCAGGAACTGGCTTGACTTACTCTGCTTTCTCAGGTTTAACTTACCTCCCTTTCTGAAACAGAAAACCCAGTTTCCGTCATTTCAGGGTTAACAAACTCAGAGTTTTCACTTAACCTCCTTTCTGAAACAGGCCCCAGGTCCTTACTCTGAATTTTTAGATCAGTTTTCAGGGTTCCTATCAGATTTAGTGTAAAATACTAATAGGGTCACCATGGTTTTCAGCGTGTGTGAGCTGTGATTGACACTCCATCAGACGCTCCTCTGGCTGTGATTGGTTGTTTTGACTCGTCCCGAATTATTCTTTCCAGATTGAAATACAGGCAGTAGGCGGTACCAATTGAAGTAGTTTTTTTCACAGGTTACATATCACATGTACTGCTGTCTGGGCATAGGGACAGTTTTAGCCAATATGACAAAAAAGTGATTTTTAAAAACTTACAGACTTCAGCTTTAAAGAATTGTGATAAAAATGTAATGCAAATTGAGAACGTGTTATTCTTGCCATCTAGCTTTTAGTATGTTTCCAGCAGTGTTTTTCTGAATATATAAATTCAACATTATCTTTTTTTTTTGTAATGCCTATTCCTGATAACTAAACAGCAAATGAAGAGGCCAAGTAAGCTTAAAACAGGAGCATCACATTTATTGTTTTGAAAATCTAAAATAAAAAAGGTTCCAATAACAGTTTGTAGAAATTAGACTATTTTATGCAAAGGAGATCAATGTCATAGACGCACGGTTGTTTTATGAAACAGAAGAGGGAGAGATGTCCAAAGCAGGAGTTTACTACCATTTAGGTTATAAGGAATGTTTCTTTGCAGCTATTCCTGCACCTGTAGTGAAGACCATGAACTGCATACATTTTATATGATGAGGCTTATTTTGATGTTCAGCTCCTTCACATTATGAGGAGTTTGTGAAAACGCACTCAAGAATGTTGCAAAGCATTCATACCCATAAATGTATATAGTTTGAGTACCTATTTGCCTTGAATAAAAAGGAAAATATGTATTTATTAACAGACAAAAGTGGCATAATACATAACTGCCATAGCATTCACAGTTGTTTAGGATGTACTTGCATCTTATTATAAAAGATTTCATGAGAACCAGCACAGCATAACTGAAAAAATTCAGTTCAGCTGATACCAACCAACTTAAACGTTTATTTATACGCAAACATATTTGCATTTTACATCATTCATAGTTTTCATAAACTTCTGTGGATTTAAAGTCACTACAGAAAGTTGATCAGATAATTTGCAGCTAAGAGGATTTTAAGTCTTAGGTGCCTCTGAGCAGGGAACATAGTTCACTGGCTTCACATTTCTAGAAGTAGATCTGCTGTCAGAGCCATTCACACTGCCCCTTGGTGTTCATCAGCATCCTCCCTCTTCATGTCATGTGCTGATGTTGGTTTTCTCAGTCCCGCAGCTCTAAATAGTCTAGCTCATTTCCCCCTCCGTCCATTATTCTTTCCCTTTTTCTGTTGAGCCTGAGCAGAAGCAGCAGAGACAGATGCATCCTGCTGGGACCGTCTTGTAAGAAGCTCCTTGAAGACCGACTCCATATTTTGACAGACCTCCTTAAAATAAAGATTAAGAAAAAAAAAATCACACACAAGTACTGCATTTTTATATTTGTTAATCAAATTACTTCATAAGATGCACAAACATGCTCTTTAAAGATCCTCATGTAGATTCACAAAGAGTAATAATACATTCCATATATCAAGTGAAATGATTTGAAAAAAATATTTATGTACATATAAACTGACCTTATCAACTTTAACAACCAAGTCTTCTGAGGATGAGTTTTGCTGAAATCTACATGCAGACAAAGAAATCAAAAATAAAATATATCCCACTTTCTTTCATTTATTTTGAACAGTTTTTAAATAGCTAAATGAAGAAATAAAAAGGCATAAGAATAGCATGATATTCTGCACTCACCAGTATATTTAAAACACAATCTATAATATATTTCATGATTGAATTTTAAGGTAGCCATTTCCTTTGAATCTAAACTAAAATCCAACAGTTCAAACGAAATAAGATGTTTCTACAAATTATTCTTCCACATGGCAGAAAATGTACTGTCATGTGTAAGAAAGTAGTAGAAAGCAAAACAAAAACAAGAGACTGTTATGAAATGCCTGCTACTGGTTTTCTGTAATTTTTTAATTATACAAAACAATATTAAAAATGATGGTACAGAGCCTACTCAGTTAGGGCATTCTGGAATATGCATCCAAAAACTTTTAATTGTTGTTAATACAGTATATTAATGGGGGGGAGACATAGAAATGCACAAATAATTAGGTACTCAGCTAAAATGTGTTCAAATTCCATGGCTGCTATTCTTTTGGATGAAAAAAAAAATGCTGCTTCAGGGTGATCAGAGAAAGACTGGATGATGTGATGCCAACCCAGGCCATTGGCAAGAAGCCCAAGCAAAGACTCCTGGTTGAGGAATGGGCATCATTAGAAGAGGCCAGATCACAGTTTTAAAAACCATCCATTGATTGGTTTAAAGAGAAATGTCTTGGTTTGATGAAAACTATGAGTTTTCTGTGAAGCTCAAACACCAGATAGCTTAGATAGCATCTTATGGGGATTTTTCAAATAAAATGATATTGTGTGGGATCAATGATCAGTTTGGTTGCATGAAATGCTCATATTGCTTTGAGCGGAAAATATTTTTTAAATGGGCATTTAAATATGTAAACCTAAAAAAAAAAAAGAAGCTTTTGATGAACCTTATTCATTTTACACATATAATCATACTTAATGGTTTCTGTTTTGAGATGTGGCAGGATTAGAAAAAGATTTGCACAATAAAACCAAATTCAGGGATCATTTAAATATAAATGCCAGTATGCAATATTTGTTTCATTAATTTTGATTCACAAAGTAATATCAATTAGTGTTACTCACTCTTTGCGCATACAAGACGGAGAGAGGGTTTTTCTTTGCTTCAACTGTGGGCCAACTGGAATCTGCAGAGACATTTTTCCAGCTGCAGAAGGGCCACCCCCTGGTGGTATCTTGCTGTAATCCAAGCAGCCACTGCTGTTTGCTCTCGGACGTTCTGTATTTGTAGACACATCTGGACCATTACCAGCTAAAGACTGTGAGTCCAAATCTGCTTAGGAGCATGTTTTGCCATCAGAGTGTGTGTGTGTAGATATATATATATATATATATATATATATATATATATATATATATATATATATATATATATATATATAAAACATTTTGAAGTAATAAAATAAATAAAAACATTCCTACCATCTCTGTTCTGGGAATACTCCACTTCAACTTCTCCTTCAATCATAACCTCACTGCAAGAGAAATGACACTCAGATATAATTGACCAGTTTCCTGCAGGCCCTTTATATGCTTTGTGGGTTTTTACACGTTTAATTATCTCACCCGTCGTCCGGTTCGAGAGTCATACACTTTTCATATATTGGTCCTTGAACTTTGCTCTGACTGGGGAAGATGCTCTCATGCTGTAGGATGATTCCTTTCACCAGGGCATTGATCTGAGGCTGCAGAGTCACAACCTCATCATCATTTAGGCCTCTTATCAGGCTAGGGCCGAAGCACACGGCCAGGTTGTAAGGCTGCATCATATTCTCATCACTGTACTGAGAGACGCTGAGGAAATGGAAAGTTCCAGATTATTATCATTCATTCTGAGCAATACTGTTCTTAACAACTGCAAATTTAGAACTTATGAAATAATTATTTATGCCTATATTAGAATTTCTCACTTCCTATTATTTCAAAATGTTGCATTCAGTTCCAGGATGTTGTCTTGCAATATTCACACTGCTTTGTGGTCTAACCGAATTGGTAGATGGAAAATTAGCCTAATGGAAGGTGGTGGTTTTTAACTGACAGTCTTAGTTTACAGAAAATCCCCCCTTCCTCTGCCAACAGTGAGTCTGAGCACCAACTTCATCAACTTCATTCATATGGCAACCCAGGTTTTAAAGATTTCCAAACTTTTTGCAAAATAATTGAATGAATTTAAGAAAATGAATTGGTCCGTAAACATTTCCAGGAGGCCTCTGATTTTTGGACATTTTTTTTTTTTTAAGTTTTAGTCAGCAGGACTACCAGTTTTTGTCTTTATGGCAACTATTCAAAAACTACATGGAGTGAGCAGGAGAATAAAAAAGGTACTACGGTTCAGATCGAAGACTTCCAAATCTGGACTGGAGTCCTCTAATTGCAGACCCCTGTATGTCTAGTTGTATGAGAAAGGCAGTTTTTTTTTTTTTTTAGATAGTATGACACTGCGTGTGTGACGCTGTAAAACTTCTCTCCATTAGTCACTCAGATCTTTGTCTTTGACCACAGGGCCTGTGGCGAACCTTCAGTCGTACTTCGGTGTTTTTGTGTGGTTGTAAAACAAAAATTGGAAAGGCTCTACATGTCTGAACGTTTTCAAAAAGGGCCATAAAGTTCATCTGTAATAATACGCTCCTTTAACGATACAGAACTGGCAGACGACCTTTATAAGATTACATTTTATCAGCCAATACAGTGATACAAAGAGTTTAAAACCTCTAACTTAAGCTGTATTTCTTGGGCTTTTACCTTTTTTAGCTTTGTTTTCTGGTTAGAATGCAAATATGCATTAATTGCATCAGATTTTTTAAGAGGGTAAAAAAATCTGAGTATGATACAGTACTCACTGATGAAGGAAGGCAAAAAGGTATCTCATGACAACAATCACAGGCTCAGGGTAGGAGGAGACAATCGCCTTGAGCTGAGCAGCTCTTTCTGCATCATCCTTTATTTCTGAGGAAATGCAATGAAAGACAAATCAGCTGATCATCCTAAGCCAAGTTAAATGCTTCCTCTTATAGAAACGCTTACGGCTGCACTGCAAGAGCTGACTGGTGCTTTCTATAGGAAACAGAGGGTTCTCCAAACATCTGAAATAGAGCTTCAGCACTCCGGCCACAGAGTCCAAATCATATCTTTGTTCAGACAGCGGGTCCTCTCCTGTAGGGAAGATGACAACGCACTGTCCCACATTATTAACTCTCCGTGAAGAGTGAAACTATCTGGTAACTACAGATCATCCCAACAAAAACAGATACTCAAAAACACAGATCTACCTCTTTCAAATGCATCCCTCAAGACATTCACCTCCATCTGAGATCCTGGAACCCTAAAAATCCCTTCATGGTGAAGACCTACGGAGGAAACCATACAGTTTTTTGAAGCAACTTATTTTCCTTCAACTGGCATAGTATATATATAGACACACACACTGTGCATCAGGGTAAATCACTGAGAAACGATGAATGGTACTTGTTCGAGGCTTCCTTGATTTTGAACACTTACCATAAAGATTAATAAAGCGAATGCAGCTTTCTACAACATATGGAATCTGTTGTCCTGAAGCCTTAATAAAGAGCAAGAACAACAACAAAAAAAAGGTTTAGTATATAAAATATCTGAAAAACTGAAGACAGTAGGAAATATAAAAGCATTACTTGAATAAAAAAAAAAGATATCTACTGTTGATCCACAAATATTACCATGGAAAATGAAATGAGTAAAAAGATGTTTGAGTGAATTATGTTGCCAAGTAATATTCGTTATTAAATCACAAAAAATTACATATTATCATGTAAGAAAATAATGCTACCACTATCACTACCACTAGAAATATGGAAAATAGGGGTATGTGTGTGGGTGGGGGTATTCACTCTACCTTTATAAAGGACAACATGTCTCCGCTGAAAAGTTTCTGATTGTGAAAGAAATTGGCACTTGATTGATTCTTTCTGATCCGCAGAGACTTCCCAGAAAACCTGCAGAACCCATAACATAGACCCGTAAGTTTTTATTTCCCAATGAAAAATGCTTGAACTGCACAGTTTAATCTTACAATAATATTTTTTTAAAGGCCCAGAATGTGAGATTATACCTAGGCTGATGTCCATTTGATGCTTCAGCTAGGAGGAAAGAGGAGATTTATTTGAAATTAAAAAGGAACAAAAAAAGGGAACACAATTCTAAAATGTAAATGACAAATACTGTAATATTACAACAGTGCAGCAGCTGTGTAACAATAGAACATTTTGTCTGCAGTTGGTTTTGTTTTGATATGAAGAATGCAGAAGTGCTACCTTTTTCCACTGCTATCTTAAGCAGATCATGCTTAGCTTGGAGCTTTGACACCAGTGAGCCGCCAACAAGATATTCTTTTACTTTCTGCAAAACCGAACAAACAATGATTAACTAGCGTTGCAACATTTATCAGGGAAGTTTCCTGAAAGGCGTCCTAATTCTGGTCTGCAGACTCACAACCAAGTAGAGGTTTTCTACTTCCAGGAGGTTGGCCCTCCGGCGAGCCACGCTGGGTTTCATAGTCAGATTCTCAGTGCTGCCCGCCTGACTAAGACCAGTGCTGGATTCCAGATCATCATCACCAATTCCCGCCAGCAGAGAGGACTTTGCTGCTGACATGCTTTTACCAGCCTGTGTGAAAGCGGACATCGTCAGCTCTAGTGGCAGGGCATGCTGTTAAACTCAGAACAGAATATTGATAAGACAGATGTGTACAAGAAAAACAAATCTATATATGGGCCAAAATTAGAGTATGTTTTCTTGTTTCGTAAGTCAAAGTCAATGCTATTCTTGTAAACACATCCTTCCCATAACATTGAATGAGACATGCAGAAGTCTTTTACAAAAAAAGGCACAAACCTCACAAGACACTACACCATGACATTTTAAAATTAGCGACGAAAGATTTTCTTCCGCTCTTCTATCAAATACAAGGGCTTGTATTCATGTTCCCTTGAGTTTTTCAGATTTTTTCAATGTTAAAGCCACAAACTGAAACATAACTTAGAGGAATTTCATGTGACGGAGTTGTACAAAGTAGCATATCATATTAAAGTAGAAGCAAAGCGGCTACATGATTCAACCTTTACATAAAACTCACATGCAACTAACCAGCCCATTTTCAATTGTGATGTTAGGGACTGGAGGACTAAAACATTGCAGGAAGACCCTGATAAGACATAATCTTTTACAATATTACCAACATCAAAAATTGTTGTTTGGGAAGAATCTGTAATGCCTTTCACTTTGATGTACTGTTAAAGTGATATTTTAAAACATGGCAATGGCAGCACCATGCTGTGGGAACAGTTTTGTTCAGCAGTGCCACGGCAACTGTAGTTGAAATTCATCTTCCTGCAGAGCCACTCCAAACATAAGGTTAAAGCTACAAGGTCAAGGTTTATATCAAATTAGGGTTTATATCAAATAAATAAAGCTCTAATATCAGATGTGATGTTTTATCAAGATTTAACGCATCGTACAGCAAATGCGAATGCATGGAACCATTTCCCTTCAACTTTAAGATTATGAGCTTACATACGTTTGTCCAAACTTAAATACTTCTACAATGCATCTAAGCACTAAGAATCACATTAATCGTTGTGTATTTTGCTATCTGTGTGTTTTGTGCACCATTCTTCTGATTAAAAGGCTGTCTAATTCTGACAGTTGTCAAAGATATAGATACATTGGAAAGAATAAATATTCAAATGCTGTATCCCAATTTTATACTAATTTCACTTGGTAATACTAAAGGAGATTGTTTGCATATTTCTGATATTGTTAATGTTAGATTTTTGGGATATTTATTTTGCAAATTTATACAAGTCTGCATTTCTGTTGAGAAAGCATTTCTGTGGTGAGAAAAAAAAATAGATTCCGCTGCTACTCTGAAGTGGTTAATATTTGGTAAAATCTGAAATCTCTCCAGCTCAATAGGTACATTGTTTTTGTTTCGTTTCTGAGAAAGTTTATTTTGTTTCATAAAGACTGTGCAGATAACCAATAGCAACTCACTGTTCTCCCAAACTGGTTTTGGATCCAGCAGATATTCCATGAAATTGGCTTAAATCTTATTAAAAATCAAGTCTGCTCTTTGTTGCCAACACTTAACATCTATGATTTCGCCACAGGCATTTAAAAAAAAAAAGATTACTGAACTTAGAGTGCATTATTAAAGTTAGCCTTTTTACAGATCTCGTTAATGTTATCATTGTTAAATCACATTTGCATGAAGAATAGTGTTTTTTTAAACCAAAGAAGCAAAGAAATCTAAATAATTTTGTCAGAAAATACATTTTTGCAGAAAAACAGACTGTTGTGTTCTTTCACTAGATCAGAATCCAAAATTCTAGAACAAAGGAATCGACTATCGTTTTCCTTCTAGTGACGTATGTTTTATACAGACAGAATAGACCCATAAACTTAGAGAGAAGGAAATGTTTAAGTAAAATCATGACAGGACAAATGACACTAACTACAAACCTAATATACAATCCAGACCTGTGAGTGAAGATTATAGTCTTTTGTTTTATTTTTCCTATACTTTTTTCAGTTCTGAATTATTGGTGCTTTGATTACATATATATTTTCTCTATTTTATAAACGTATTAAGTTATAGATCAGTAGATCTGGAAGCAGCTACCGAGGTGCCACATTTTGGGGAATTATCTTTACCTCTTCCGTTTCTTCAGTCATAGTTTTCAGTCGAGCTTGTATCTGCTTGAATCGGGTCTCCATCTCGCACCTCATTTCACACTCTGCGCTAACTTCTGAAATCTGCAAAATGCAAGAAAGCATTGAGTCGTCTGCACTGCCTAAAGTCACATACGGACCATAGATAAAAAAACAAACAAAAAAAACAGCACCTGGTCTTCTTCATGGGGTTGGTAGGGGAAGCGGACAGGCATAGAAAAGGTATTGTAGTGGTCCTGCAGAAGGTTGTCTCTGTCTCGGCTCTGGTCAAGGTGATCCACGGCCTCTTGGAGCTGCTGCAGGCCGGTGTTCAGGTTCTGCTGGGCCCATGACCGTCTAGCCAAGTAGGCTTTTATCACCCTACCCAAAGAGAGGTGGTACCCTAAATCTGCACACTGAAGAAAACAGACTACATGAGCTGCAAGGTCGGGTGGTGCATGAAGAAAAAGGTGTAGACTGAAGCTCTTACATCTATGAGATTGGTGATGTCATGAAGATAGTATTTATTCATGGATGAGTTTGCTGCAGACAGGTTTAGCAGGTAGTCGTTCCTTGCTTTGCCACACTTCAGCTGTATCTCCTGGACTTTAAGTTGTCTCTATATAACAAAATCATTTTTAAAATTCAAACATCCAAACAAACAAAAAAAGCTTAATTTAAAAAAACATATACATAATGTATTACTTTTTCTATCAACCTCTCCAGCTTCTTAGCAGCACTCTGCTTTTGCTTTTCCTCCTGTTTCTCAGCCTCCCTTAACTTTCCCTCTGCACTGACGAACTCCGAGTGGTACTGGTGGTACGTCCGCCAAGCCTGCACATAGACACCAACATGCACTGCTTTTTTTTCCTCTCTCCTGTTTTTAGAGGAAATACAGACTGCTTCAACCAGCTGGTTTCTTCCTTACTGTTTGCAGCTCAGTGGTAACCTTGAGTAGTCCGTCTTGCAGCTGGGTACAAAGGTCTTTACTCTGAAACAGGACATGGAGACAAAATATCACAGACGGCACAAAACAAACACAGCAAGCCCTGAAATATGTCAGTATTGACACACTTTAAGTGAGCCACACAGGCCTACCTTAGTGAATTAGAAAATCAAATGTTACTTCAGTTAATACATTCAAAAGCTATTATTCAGATATGTAGCTTCTGTCATTAATAAATTTAAAGTTTTATCACTATTATTTCTCAAAATGTCTTGAATATTTAAAACCAAAAACAGCTTTGCTAAGAAAACATAAATATTGTCCAGCACTGAGACATTGCTACTATTTACGATTAGAGTAAACACAAAATATTTTCTGTTTTAAGGTGGTTTAAATGCGTAGGATCTGTTCATGTATCCCCCACAGCACTACCTCTTATTTTATATCATCTGTTAACACTTCCTGAATCTGACTTCCTGGCTCCTCTGGTCATTAGAAACGTCTGAGTTTTTCTTCATCATTTGTCTAAAAAAGGTACAGTCCTGTTCTCGAATATGATTGAAGAGTCATGCTGGATCACTATAGAGCTACATAACACAGAACCGGATGGAGTTACCGTAATGGCTAGAATAGCTTCCATTTGTGATAGAGATAAATATATAGATTAAGGAGTTTAGTCAGAAGAAGATGAAGATGCATATTTCATTTTCCACTACCTGAAGAACCTTTAATTACTATGATATCACGTTGCTGGGTTGTTTAAAAAACATAGGCCTTAAATGAAAAATCAGATAATTTCCTGAGAAAAAAAAAAAAAAAAAAAAGAACTTTGCTAAATTACTGAAATAACTTATGAATTATATTCCAAATACTGAACTTTTATCAGTGAACAGTCTCTGGTTCTGTTATAGTCCAGTTCTAACAGTACAGTACCTTTTTAGCCAGACGTTGTGTGTAATCCAGACAGTACATTATGGGCTGAATGAGGATGTTGCTGCAACTTTCTGCGAGTCCGCTGTGGTCTCTACTTTCTTGGCGGGTTTGAGCCAGGAGAGCCAGCCAGACCTGTGAGACAGAGTGAGTGCTGGGCTCCTTCCTGCAGGGGGAAAAGGTTTCAGGTAATGTTATCTAATTAACAATTTCCTTTGCACAACCATTACCATATTACCATTACCTTTTGATCCTCAAGGTGAACCTTTCTGCAAGTTTTTCCAAAGAACGGGAATATTCCGATTCAATCTCGCCTCGTCGGCGGAGGTAGTCAGTCATGTCTTGCAGTTGCTGGGTCTTCTGCTCCAGCTGCAGGTCCAGCACCTTCAGTTGGTCTACGAGCTGGCATCGCACCTCTGGAAATATTGAGGGAAAGGGTTAAAACAATAGCTCAGCTGAATCTAAAATCATTAATTCTGAAACCAATGTAGCAGGCTTTAAGAGGGATTTTTCACAAAATTGCTGGTCAAAGTTAGAATGTGGCATGATGATAGGTGTGAAAATTTCTAATCTGGCTACTTTTACCTTTTATCTGTGTATCATAGTCCACCACACCCACCCTCTCCTTTCGAAGCCTTGCATGAGAAGTCATTGCAGCTCCAATGGGATGGAATTCTGAGTCAAGAAAAATCATAATCAGAAAACATTAGAGGCCCTTCAGCTTTATTTTTTTAAAGATAGACAACATGTCAATGTGCAGACAAACAACAGAGTCTTTAGCAGGACACTTTTAAACTCCCAGTTTAGCTTTGTTGTCAATTACACTTTTTTCATAATCCTTCACGCCTGAGTGCCCACAAACCACAACCAATGTCATCCTGCAACATACTGAGAAGTCAAGAGAGCTATTTTTTTTTTCACACTGCAACACATCTCCCCCAAGCCGATGGCCCTCACCCATGCTTTTCTGAGTGGCATGCGTCTTTAAAAGCAGTTGGGCATGTGTTGCCTGCAAAGCACCACGTCAGTTGCACTGCAGGGTTTTGCAGGAGGTGCAAAATTAGCTCCCACAACATCGTAGCTTTAACCTAAAATAGCTTGGACCAAGAGGCAGAGGACTATGTGGGGATGTTTGGTTCGAAGACAACAGGTGGTCTCTGCAATGACGTTGAGGTTTACTGATGCAGTCACCAGTAAATCCCGGAAGGTTTGACTCTTTACTCGAATGACTGAATCACCACAGGGAGTCTACATTACAGTGCGTGCTGGACTGAAACCTTTTAAATATTAAAAATTTAATTGTGAGGAGAAAATATAAAAATATGCAAACTAAAAGAGTTCCATTTTAGACTGCTTTCATACAGAAACTGTGCAACAACTAAAGAATATGACAGTTCTTTAAAAATGTGACATTCACACGGCAAAACACCCCCCCCCCCCCCCCCCCCCCCCAACAATTGGGTAACCTTGTACATCAGAAAAGGGAAGAACAGGATTTTTTTCTTGCTTTGTCATAAAAACTTTGTACATTATCAGCACAACTATTCTCTCTGCACTCTTTAACTTCCCCCTTTGTTGGCCTTTTTTTTTTTTTTTTTTTTTTTTTTTAACTAAACACTTAGCTCTCTTTTCATCTAAAGCATGCTCCCTCTTCTCTTTTTAGGAGACATTTCCTTGCTGACCTACACTAATGACAAAAAGCAGAGCCATTAGCTCCCTGTTAAAGGAAGAAATGTCTTATGATTTTACAGCATGTGTCACCTTTTCCACATTTAAACCTTTCATTCTTGAACTGTATGATCACCAGTGAATCACAACTTTCATTACCTTAAACCTAGTCTCAACTTTACAACAAGTACAGCTTTATTTTTAAGTATAGCTATGCATGCATATATATCTCTACTTTTAGAAGGTACAAACGGGTACAAATATAAAATCGGACAGGGTTATAAAACGTTTACAGCCTGAGGGTTGTGTGTGCTTGCAATAAAACAATATGAGATTGGCAAGCACTTCTCATGAAAAAAAAAACAATTCTTTTTTAATTAAAGATAAATAAAGGTAAATAACAGCTTAAAAAATACAAAGATTTTTTTACCTTTAAGAGATGTGGTGACAAGCCCCCTTCTCCTGACTCAAACAACTAAATAATGACAGTTAACAGCACAGTGAACTCTACATGGTTTCACCTCCCCCTCACTTCGGACATGGATGCTTGTGGGTGGAGCAGAACTTATCTCTCTATGACTCTTTCTCTCTCTTTTTCACATTCACATACTTTCTGTTCAGCTCTGTTTCTCACCCAACCTTCATTTTGGTCACACATATAGTTTGAGGCATCAGCGTGTGATTCTGTAAGTGTGACAAGCAAAGAGAGAATCAATATAAAAAAAACCCTTTGTAAGTCAAGCCCTTCCTCTCTTTCTTTTTCATGCTGGTTCCTGAACTCTTCACACTTCAGACTTCAACTCCAATCATATTGCAGCTGTTCTCACTGATTAGTCCCTCCTCTAAGATGTGGTGTCAGCGATTGAGTGAAATCAGTAGGTAAGACATAAATAAAAGCCCAAACATACCAAACAAAACACATAAAATGTCAATATAACAAAAAAAGAAAAATGTGATGCGTTCTTTGCACAAGTGTTTAAAGGCACAGAGAGAAAACCTAAACAAGCCAAGATGCTGAACTCAGGCAAAAATGTTAACACATAGCGTTTAGTTTTTGTGCATAAAAAGAAGATTGGTACAAGAAAGAGGAAGTCAAACAGTGTGGTAGCTTGGAGACTTTATTGCCATACAGGGGGAGTTTAATGTACTACATGTCGCAAGCCCAGCCTGCTTGTAATTCACCACAGAGCAAGATCATTTGAGCCACAAAAAGTTTTGGAAATACACAGATAGACTTTTGATTTGTGCTCCAGTTCTGGCCAGCATTTTTGAGGCCCACAATCAAGAACTGAGAAAAATTTTGCTCTGTCTTCTAGGGCTACTGCAGTGTGAAGCCCGTTTCACAAAAACACTATAAATTACATACAGTACAAGCAGCAGCATGTACTGTATGTCACCATGGTGATTTATTCTGTGCAGGTTGCCTGTGTCTTCTTTTAATTCAATTCAATTCAGTTTATTTATATAGCACCAATTCACAACACGTGAATTGGAAAGATCATACACTCAAATTGATTCAAAGATTTCTATCTAAGGAAAACCAGTTGATTGCATCGACTCATTGACTCGAAGACAATCCCTCACACCAAGCATGCTTGTAGCGACAGTGGAGAGGAAAAACTAAATTTTAACAGGAAGAAACCTCAAGCAGAACCAGACTCAGTGTGAGTGCCCATCTGCCAAGGCAGACTGGGGTTCAAGGAGACAGAAGCAGACATACAGAAAGAAGCAGAGATACAAAAGGCAACTGTAAACCAGCTCCACAGGCAGCCCCGTCCAGGAAACACACAGCCAGGCAGACAAACTCCGAGCCAGTCCCTACGTTAGAGGATGAAGGGAGCACATCCAGTCGGTCACAATCAGAAACGGGATTACAATGAAAAACAGGCTGAGCTCAAATATCTATGAGCAGAGTTGTTGATTGCAGCAGCACAGCTGATATTTCTCTCCAGGATGGTGTCACAGCCAAACAGGAACAGGCCAGATGAAGAGAGAGCATAGCACTAGAGACTGAACTAACAGATTCTGTAGAGTTGGAGAATAGATATAGAATGAAGCAGAATGATGAAGGGGTCCCTATGTCCTCCAGCAGTCTAAGCCTTTAGCAGCATAACTATAGAGATAGCTCAGGATAACCTGAGTCACTCGAAATATGAGCTTTATCAAAAAGGAAATTTTTAAAGATACCGTTAAAAGAAACTAGGGTGTCTGCCTGACGGACTAAAACTGGTAGTTGGTTCCACAGGAGAGGAGCCTGATAACTAAAAGATCTGCCTCCGATTCTACTTTTAGAAATTATAGGAACCACTAGTAAACCTGCAGAGTGAGAGCAAAATGCTCTGTTAGGAACATAAAGAACAATCATATCTCTGATATAAGATGGAGCTTGGCCATTTAAGGCTTTATATGTGAGAAGGAGGATTTTAAATTCTATTCTGGATTTAACAGGAAGCCAAGGAAGAGAAGCCAGGATAGGAGACATATAATCTCTCTTTTTAATTTCTCTGTTTTTAATTCTAAAAGCTGAAGGCTTTTAACTACAGTTTGTGGACTTCCTGATAGTAATGAATTACAATACTCCAGCCTTGAAGTAACAAATACATGGACTAGTTTCTCAGCATCAGCCCTGAACAGGATATTTCTAATTTTTTACAATATTCCGCAGATGAAAGAAGGAAAATTCTAGAACCTCTTTGATATGGGATTTAAATGATAGGTCCTGATCAAAAATAACACCAAGATTTATTAGGGGGGCCACATGCCGAAGGCATGGCCCACCTATTACTATTGCACATATTTATTCCGCGTATTATTATTATAGCTTATAGTTCTCCTCGTCCCCTAAAAACTTCGGCGTGTAACTAGTCACGCACCATTTGTCGGATCGGGCCCAAAGTTGGCACACGCGTAGGGACCAATGGTGCGATGCGTGCTTGTATAAAACTTTCTCATTAGTCCGAAGGTTTGCGAATTATTAGCGAAAACGTCGCAAAAAAAATCCCATAGGAAATGAATGGGGAGAGGGAAAAAAAGCATAAAAAACAGCACCTCACTGTGTCGGCATACATTCATGTAGAAAAACAGTTTAAAGCTCAGTTTGTAGATAAATCCTTCGTCTATTTAAAACTGAAGACGGTATGTTGATAACTGCTACGGTTTTTGTATAATCAGACCTCAAGCGCCACAAAGTTTTAGCAAAATCCACCCTTCTAGAGTGGAGAGACTGAAAAGCTAGAGTGTGAGGCAGCCGTTTTTTTAAGACCAAAAAACATTTTAAAATCGCCCTCACGGCCACATATTTATAGCTAGAGTCACCATTTTTGGTCAGTTTGTAGGCTGAAACCTCTGGACTCACACAATGTCTTCAGAATTACGGTAGGATTAATACTTTTCCTTAAAAACGCTCCAGACCGACCTAAAGTCGATGAAAATCAGAGCCGTTTTTCATTGGTTTTGGAGCAGCAGTGGGGAGAAAAACGAATGACATTATATGTTTTCAACTCGTCATAAATATTTTTCTGAAAGACACACATACACCAAAGTTGGCATAGTTGGAGTCGAAGGATGGCTGACGCTCACGGTGAAAGAATTTTTTGAATAACTCATACGGTTTTTGCTCAGCAGTCGTTTGTTCGGAGGACATTTTAAGCACCAGAAAGCTGGGTGAGAGGGACCTGCTGCAGCTAGCTCAATTAAAAGATCAGGTGTGAGAAAACGTTTTGTCTTTTTCTTTCTCTTCCCATTCAGGTTGTAGATGACCTACAGCCATGAAAGTTACTCCAATTGAAGACAAGATATAGCTGTAGCTTAGATAAAAATAATTTTTCAGATATCATTTATGGTTTTTACTCAGCAGTCATTTGTTCGGAGGGGGGCTTTAGCAGCTTAAAGGTGAGTGAAAGTGTGTTGCTGCAGCTAGCTCAGTTAGAAGCTAAGGACTGAGGACCCGTTTTTCTTATTCTTTCTCTTCCCATTCAGGTTGTAGATGACCTACAGCCATGAAAGTTACTCCAATTGAAGACAAGATATAGCTTTAGCTTAGATAAAAATAATTTTTCAGATACCTTTTACGGTTTTTACTCAGCAGTCGTTTGTTCGGAGGGGTGCTATAGCAGCTTAAAGATGACAGAGTGTGGTGCTGCAGTTTAAACAAAGGGAGGAGCAGGTGGGATCAGCCATTTTGTTTGTGCTTCGTTTTGGGTTGTGAAAGACCTACAGACATGAAGGTTACCCCAGTCTGAGACAAAGGATAGATGTTTCTTTCACTGAAAGAATTTTTCTAATACCTTTTACGGTTTTTGCTCAGCAGTCGTTTGTTCGGAGGGGTGCTATAGCAGCTTAAAGGTGACAGAGTGTGGTGCTGCAGTTTAAACAAAGGGAGGAGCTGGTGGGATCAGCCATTTTGTTTGTGCTTCGTTTTGGGTTGTGAAAGACCTACAGACATGAAGGTTACTCTAATTGAAGTAAAGATATAGCTGTAGCTTAGATAAAAATAATTTTTCAGATATCATTTATGGTTTTTACTCAGCAGTCCTTTGTTCGGAGGGGGGCTTTAGCAGCTTAAAGGTGAGTGAGAGTGTGTTGCTGCAGCTAGCTCAGTTAGAAGCTAAGGACTGAGGACCCGTTTTTTCTTATTCTTTCTCTTCCCATTCAGGTTGTAGATGACCTACAGCCATGAAAGTTACTCCAATTGAAGACAAGATATAGCTTTAGCTTAGATAAAAATAAATTTTCAGATACCTTTTACGGTTTTTACTCAGCTGTCGTTTGTTCGGAGGGGTGCTATAGCAGCTTAAAGGTGACAGAGTGTGGTGCTGCAGTTTAAACAAAGGGAGGAGCAGGTGGGATCAGCCATTTTGTTTGTGCTTCGTTTTGGGTTGTGAAAGACCTACAGACATGAAGGTTACCCCAGTCTGAGACAAAGGATAGATGTTGCTTTCACTGAAAGAATTTTTCTAATACCTATTACGGTTTTTGCTCAGCAGTCGTTTGTTCAGCAGCTGTTCCTCCCATTCAAAAAAGCCTGAGAGCTAAGGAACGATAGTGCTGCGCTTTTCTCTCTGTCACTGACAGGCTCGTTAAGCGTTGTCAAGGTAACCGTGCTTCAAAGAGATTTTACCTCTGCTGTTTTAAACAGCACATATTAATCCAATGGAGGGTGAAAGCACTGATTTAACATTGGAAAATGGACACTAAAAGACTGCTGTCCATGACACTTCCCTTGCCACTCAACACTGATAGACTTTCAAAATAAGACTCCAGGGACCCTACAAAATAAAAGCCTCTATATTTTTTACATATATTTATTGCCCTATATGGCTCAACATTATGACCCAAACTCAACCCCATTTTAGAGAATAGACTCTAGGAGACTGTTTAAAACACACCCTATGGCAAATTTCAAAATAAAAGCCTCCCATTTCCGCTTCATCTACTGCCCTAATAACATGGAAAAAGAGTGATTTAACGATTGGAAAGTCATCAACTATGATTGCTGGGTCTGAACATTTTCTCAAAACACAACTCTGTTGGACTTTCAAAATAAGACTCCAGGGA